GTAAAAAGCTCTCGCGCAGAGCTTTCTCCTTATCATTCTTCTGAAGTGCAGGCACTTTCCGGAAATTACTAAACCCTACCTCTGTTGTGCTGGGTATCGAGGGTCGTTTCCGTGTGACTGTTATAATAGGCCCCCTTAAACGATACTCAAAATTATTATACAATATTATATAAAAGAATATACAACAATTTAGCGCTGCATAACAAATAAAACTAGAACTAACACTAGACCTAGAACTAGAAAGTTTCGGGATTAGTTCTAGTTTTACACTTACACTACTACTATCTAGAATTAACACTATACCTAGAACTAGAATCATTTGGGTTTAGCCGTACACCTCTAGAGACGGCTAAACCCGAATGATTCTAGTTCTAGGTAAAGTGTTAGTTCTACATAGTAACAGGGCTAGTGTAAAACTAGAACTAACACTAGACCTAGAACTAGAATGATTCGAGTTTAGCCGTCTTAAGAGACGTACGGCTAAGCCCAAATATTTCTAGGTCTAATGTTAGCTCTAGTGACAGTGCAAGTATAAAACTATAACTAACACTATACCTAGAACTAGAATCATTTGGGTTTAGCCGCACGTCTCTATAGACGGCTAAACCCAAATGATTCTAGTTCTAGGTCTGGTGTTAGTTTTAGTGATAGTGCTAATGTAAAACTAGAACTAACACTAGACCGCCACACAACACTAGCCGCACGTCTCTATAGACGGCTAAACCCAAATGATTCTAGTTCTAGGTCTGGTGTTAGTTTTAGTGATAGTGCTAATGTAAAACTAGAACTAACACTAGACCCAGAACTAGAATCATTTGGATTTAGCCGTCTATAGAGACGTGCTGAGTATTATATGTAGTAGAGTATAATCATAGTATTATATACTATGATTTATTACCGCTAGATGGAGTTAGTAACCTTTCCTCTATAAATGATGTTTAAACCCAACATTTAAGTTGGCATAGTGTTAGTTCTAGTTTTACACTTGTAATGTCACTAGAACTAACATTAGACCTAGAACTAGAACCATTTGCGCTTAGCTGTACGTCTCTTAAGACGGCTAAACCCGAATGATTCCAATTCTTGGTCTAGCGCTGCATAACAATTAAAACTAGAACTAACACTAGACCTAGAACTAGAAACATTCTAAACGCAAATGTTTCTAGTTCTAGATCTATGTTAGTTCTAGTTTTACACTTGCACTATTACTATGTAAAACTAAGACTATACCTAGAACTAGAATTATCTCGGTTTAGCCGCACGTCTCTAAAGACGGCTAACCCGAATGATTCTAGTTCTAGGTATAGTGTTAGTTCTAGTTTTACACTTGTAATGTCACTAGAACTAACATTAGACCTAGAACTAGAAACATTTGCGTTTAGCTGTACGTCTCTTAAGACGGCTAAACCCGAATGATTCCAATTCTTGGTCTAGCGCTGCATAACAATTAAAACTAGAACTAACACTAGACGTAGAACTAGAAAGTTTCTGAACACGCGCGGCTAAACCCGAATGTTTCTTAATTTTAGATCTACTGTTAGTTCTAGTTTTACACTAGCACTATTACTATACAGGGTGATTCATTAGCTCTATGACAAACTTTGGCAGATGAAAGGTAATGCGATTCTAAGGAAAAAATGTTATATAAATATGGGTCCGATTCATTTTGGTTAAAGAGTTACAAGCCTTTGAAAGTTCTACACAGTTTTATAGGCAAATGAAAATGTAACATAAAAAATAAGTTTAAAAATTACAAAAATTGTTCGAAGTGTCCGCCTTCAGCTTGAATGCACGCCTCACATCGACGAAGTAAAGATTCTATCACACGACGTATGATATTTGGATCATTCCGTATGCTATTAGCTGCATCTTGAATTCTGTCCAGTAGTTGCTGACGGGTAGTAATTTCTACATGGTACACAAGCTGCTTCATGTGTTCCCAGAAATAATAATCCAGCGGATTTAGATCTGGGGATAGTGGTGGCCAGACTACCGGAAGTGGTACGTCGTCGATAAAATCGAAAAGGTTATCTGTACATATTTACATTTAAGCGTTCATTTATCACCCATACAGATAGCAAAGAATTGTTAAAAATGCCACCCCAAACGTTTACACTAAACCGTTGCTGAAATCTTCCTGGTCTAATTGCATGTGGATTTTGCAAGGACCACACATGTTCGTTATGATAATTATTTATGCCGTCCCTAGTGAAACACGCTTCATCAGACCACAGAACTTGGGAAATGAAGTTATTATTTTAAGCATGTTGCTGAATAATCCAGTGGCAAAATGCTAAGCGTTGCTCAGTATCTCCAGGATGTAATGCTTGAACATTTTGGCGATGAAACGGATGTAACATTTCTCGATTCAATACACGCCATACAAAACTTTGGAATATTTGTAACATGCTCGCTATACGCCGAGTACTAATTGAAGGGTCGTCAAGTACTAAATCAATAACACGTTCTTCATTTTGTACATTCACATCATGGGGACGAACGGAATGTAGTGGAGCGGGGTTACCTGTTTCTCTCAGTCTGCGAAATGATGCACTAAACACTGTATGGGCAGGTTGATGTCTATTTGGAAACCTACGAAGGTATTCTCTTGCTGCTTGCCGAGCGTTTCCGTTACAAAGCCCGTATACAAAAATAATATCTGCATATTCTTCAGTCGTAAATACATGCATTTTCGTTTTCGATCAAAACTCTGACAATTATAAACTTTGAAACACACAGAATAGAGTAAATTGAAATGTTTGACATAAAGAACTCAGTTTTGTTATCACAGCCAACTCTGTATTTGTGTTTCATAATTATTGTTGCGATTGTTGCAAATCTTTACTTCGTCGATGTGAAGCGTGCATTCAAGCTGAAGGCGGACATTTCGAACAATTTTTGTAATTTTTAAACTTATTTTTTATGTTACATTTTCATTTGCCTATTAAACTGTGTAAAATTTTCAAAGGCTTGTAACTCTTTAACCAAAATGAATCGGACCCATATTCATATAACATTTTTTCCTTAGAATCGCATCACCTTTCATCTGCCAAAGTTTGTCATAGAGCTAATGAATCAGCCTGTATAGAACTAACACTATTCCTAGAACTAGAATCATTTGGGTTTAGCCGTACGTTTCTAAAAACGGATAATCCCGAAACTTTCTAGTTCTAGGTGTAGTGTTAGTTCTAGTTTTACACTTGCACTGTTACTATGTAGAACTAACACTATACGCAGTGCCTAAAACTGTGAGAGATTCTACGAATCGTCGTTGGCCTGCTTGGTTCACGAAGGAGGAAAAGTATTGTATTCGCATGAATGAATCTTTCTCTATCGAAACACCTTATTACCGATGCATATAATGCGTCCATGAACGATGTTGAGCGATCTTTGATTTCTGATCCCAGCACCTTCTGGACCTATGTTCGGTCACGGAAGGTCGGTACTCGCATTTCTTATGACGAATGGAAACCTGGAGTTCAGTTCGGGTCGAAGTATTGTGGACCCTTTTGCTGATTATTTTGAGTCATAGTTTTCATAGTTTATCAACGGGCGCGTTCACCAACTGTCAACGTTTGCAAACGGAGACCAAACTGTTGGCAACATTTCTGGTGAATGCAACCCTAACTTCAAACGTGTTTGGTAAACGGCCGCCATTTTATCAATCGTATGATTTTTCCGTTAGCAATCGCAAACGGTGTTTGGTGTTTGTGTCATCTTAAATTTAAAATCAACAAAAAAGAATGGCAGAAGCCCGAAATTATTTATTTAATGGGTTAGTGTATATTATCGTTGAAAATGAAGAATTTCATGATAAATTAAACGGTATGTACCTATAAATTAATTAAAATTGTAAATAAATGTTATTAAAGCGCCATCTGTTGTTATCAAACCATATGTCTATAGAAAAATTGGCCGGTCACCAAATCACCAACGCAATCGTAATCCGTTTGTGTTTGCCAACGTAAACGGAATTCTCTGGTGAACGCGCCCATAGTTTTTGTTTGTCAGTGGAGAACTTCAGCTTGGAGGAGGTTGAGCTTGCGTTGAAGCATACAAAAAATACTCTTACGCGCTGGAGTTGATGGGACACCAAGCTTTTTACGGAAGGACTGTGCTTCGATTCTGGCCGCCCTATTGCTTTCGATTTTCAATCTGGTCCTGTTTACTTCTACCTTTCCGTCGTTATGGAAAGAGTCATAAGTCTGTCCACTTTTGAAGAAGGGCAACCCTGCTGATATTGTGAAATACAGACCTATATCGCTGCTGAGTGGTTTCTCGAAGACTTTTGAAAGCGTTCTTTTCAAGCACATCTCATATCGTTTAAATAAGTACATAAGCCCAGTACAACACGGATTTATTTGTGGTCGATCTACTGTCACCAATCTGACATGCTTCGCCCAATTTGTTGCTGATGTAATCGACGCTAGAGGGCAGGTAGATGCTGTGTATCTCGACTTTCGGAAGGCGTTTGATCAGCTGGATCACTTTATCTTATTGAAAAAACTTTGGATTAAGTGCCCCTCTGTTGTCGTTAATGAAATCTTTTTTGCTAGGTCGGCAGCAGTTTGTTAATTATGGCGGCTTCACTTCCAGAGGATTTTCTCCAACTTCAGGGGTTCCCCAGGGATCCAACCTCTGTCCATTGCAGTTCCTGGCTTTTATTAATGACGTAACCGAGATCTTGGATTGTGAGAAGCTGCATTTGCTGATGATTTGAAATTATTCTCGGCTGTTGGGGATCTCAGCGATTGTGAACACTTGCAAGAAAATCTGATTCGTGTTGAGCATTGGTGCCTTAGCAACCGTGTATCATTTAATATTTCTAAATGTTTTACCATGACATTTTCTAAAAAATTGACCAATCAACCGTTGATGTCCAAACGTAAGTGCTCTGACCTTGGGGTGCTGTTCATTTGGGAAAAGACGGCTAGTATAAGTGTAGAACTAGAACTAACACTATACCTAGAACTAGAATCATTTGGGGTTAGCCACACATCTCTAAAGACGGCTAAACCCGAATGATTGTAGTTCTAGGTATAATGTTAGTTCTACTTTTACACTTGCAATGTCACTAGAACTTACATTAGACCTAGAACTAGAAACATATGCATTTAGCTGTACATCTCTTAAGACGGCTAAACCCGAATGATTCTAATTCTTGGTCTAGCGCTGCATAAAGTTTCGGGTTTAGCCGTGCTTCTGAAGACGTAATTGAAATACACTGTATAATATTTCTTTAAAAATTGTTTTTCAACCGATCTCAAGAAAAATGTTAATAATGACACATAAAAACGTCTATTTCTCCATTGCGAATCCCATTTTCTAGGAACTGGTGCCAGATTCGTACGTCACAGAAGGCAATTGATCGCTGCGTTTTGATGGGGTCGATTTTTCATGCCGCCAGTTCGTTTGCAATCAATCGGGCATTGTTCGAAGAGAGGACCGGTTCGTACGAAATAACACGCCGCGGCAGTGCTGGTGATGCTTTCAACTGAATATAGAGGCGTACAGCCTGTCCCACACATGATCGGGTGTGTACTCACATGACTGCTCCAGTCAGCACTTTTATTACCCGAGGTCGCATATAATAAGCTAATTTATTTCGTATATGCTTTATAAAAATATACCAGTTAAAACATCAAAAATAATTTTATTGTCAAACTGACATTGATAACTGTAAAAGAAATCATGAAAATAACAGCAAGATATACAGTAATAGTAATGCTTACTATAGCAGTAGCTAATCTTTATTCGTTTAGATCGATACCAACAATGATTAAACCATATTTAATACAAATCGTCGGAGGTGACACAAAAAATGTTACCAAAAATGAATGTCCAGAGCCAAGTGAAAAAGTACAAACTAAACCTCTATCGAACATAACAGAACCAATATCCCATCAACATGCCATGAAATTGGCTTACGATTTTGCAAGAGCAACAGCACATTTTGTTAGTGGCATGTCATGTGATATAAGCGGTGGAAGATACATAGTTTTCTTCAGTGTACTTGGAAGTGCAATATTGACGGCTTCTTACCCTTCATTATTAATTAATAGTCCACCATGGGGTATGATAATTTTTAATATAGTGAGTGGTTCATTAAGTGGATATGTAATGCCGGCAATAATGACATTGATATCAAGTTGGGCTCCTTTAAATAGGAGAACGGTTTTTGTTGGTGTTGTGTACGCAGGAGGACCACTTTCAAAAGTATTAGAATACGCTCTTATCGAATTTTTTACTGTAATAAGCCGCAATTGGGAAAACGTCTTCTACATTTCCGCAATTTTAGGGTTTCTTTACATTTTAATTCACATGTACACGGTGTTTTCAAAACCGGGTATGCATCCGCTTATTTCACGAGAAGAAAGAAAGTTTTTAGAAAAAGAGTTGGGAACAAAAATTCCAAAACGAATACCATGGTTTCAAATAATAAAAGATAAACATGTTATTGCGATACTATTTGGGAAATGTGCTCATCTTTGGATGCAAAATATTAATCAAACGTATCTTCCTCAATACTTAAAACTGGTGGTCAGATTGGATCTTGCGACTAGAGGAGCTTTCTATATGCTCCTTCCTCATTTATTACACTTTTTTTGCATTATTGTTGCAGCTGTACTTGTTCAAATAAGTATTAATGCACACAAGGTAGAATTAACCCATTTAAGAATTTTTTGTACGATGTTTAGCGCGGTGAGTCCAGCAATTTTAATGATAATGATGTCATACGCAGGATGCAACGTATATATGATTCAAGTTTTGAGCGCTATGGCGATTTGTAGCATGTGCACAATGAACCTTGGAATTAAATCAAACATATTGGACTTAACAACACATTTTGCGGGGTTTTGCGAGGCCTTCATAAACGGAATAGCTACATTTGGAGTTATGGCAACACCTAAACTTTTAGGTGTAATCATTACTGAGCACTGTATAGTACAATGGAGAAGATTTTACTGGATTACGTTAGCGTTTACTTCATTTTTAGCTACTATGCATTATATCTTTGTTGGAACAGATAGAGCTAAGTGGGATCATTTAAAAAAAGATAATGTTACTATGTACCATGATGATTCTGAATCGGAAAGTTTATGAATGTAATATTAAATGAAAACAGTGTTGTTGCGTTTTATTTTTAAATACGAGCTATTTAGTTACTCGATTGGAACAAATAAATCTAGAAAGTTATAAGCAACAAGTGGATAAACGTTCAAAGTAAGATTTATGAAGTTAATTTCCGATCTCAATTAATTCGCGTCTGTTTTTTTCTGAAAACTATTGTCGCAGTGCGATAACCCTTTTAATAATTTATTAGAACACTTAACGGTGGCAAACCGCAGGCTACACACACCATCAGCCATTACCGGATTTCCGTTAAAATTATGCGTGGTCTCGTATACCTTTGCGGAAGCAAATTCTACGAGAAATGGGGAGGTAGAAGCCGACTAATTGAGATAATCTGTTTTCCTCGGGTCTCGCCTTCTTATCTGCGAACGTCATCTGAATCACAAATAGGGTTTTCCCTACAAGCAATATCTAATTTCTCAAAGACTTCTATTACTAACACCATCCTCTTTTCAGTGGTATATCAGCAATATCAGGATAGTTTGAAAAAGATTTAAAAAGCACACAGTAATTAACACAGGACAAAGACAGACGGACATATCAGATTCTTTTTTATCTTTTTCTAGAACTCGTCGCTAGTTTGTAACTAAGCGTAGACAATTAGACTATCTTTTTTACTCCTCGTTACTTGTCTCCCTTTGGCTTTGATTTCCCGCCCGTTTTTTGCTCACCACTTTTAATTTTCCCATTGGAACTTCTAGGCGGAAACCTGCATTCGTCTACCTCATTTGTCACCAATTTATACCCCCGATTTTTAATTGCACGTGAAAGATCGGTGATTTTCTAAGTCACACGAATAGTGGTTAATTGCAGTCGGACGTTTCACAAAAAAATAGTGAGAAGAGAGGGAGCGATAATTTCCAACAATTCCGTCTGTCGGAAAAACCCCACTGAAAAAGTAACTACTGTAATAAAAAGAATTAAAATTCAGCGAATAATTAATAGTTGAGAAAAAAAGTAACGAATTAAATCTTAAACGTTAAATCTAAACGAGATTAAATTTTTAATAACTACTCGCATAATGAATTATTCTATTTAAGGAAATTTTTCATTTTCATTTATACATTTCAAGCTTAATTTAAAATATCAAGAAAAACTTTTTATAACTCGTAAGATTTTTTGAATAACCCAATTATCCTTATTAACTTATTCAATAAATTTGTTTATTTTTAACATTGCAACAACAATGTTCTCTATAAAGATCTGCGTTTAAACATACTCAATACATTTTGGGAAGGAATCTCTCGCAATCCAGGTATTCCTGTACCAGTCAAAGTGTTTCGAAGAACCACTTAAATCTGTTGCACTCCTGCATAATCCTATCGTTACATATTGTCCCCTCTTCGCGTCTATAATAGTTCCAACCAGTTGCTTCTTGATTGTAAAAAACTATTTAAAAGGTGCTTGAACTTATCCTAATTTAAGTTTTTAACGGTTAAATAAAATATTGAACAATTGGCTTATTAACTGTTTGTGTCCCGGTGGTACTTTAAAGTACCGATAGTTTTAAACACTCATTTTAAACTGTAATCATCTATTCGGCGCATTTAGAACTGTCAGTACTTTCTACTATTCAAGAAAGAATCTGTATAAAAAATGACACAATCCGCACTGTAGGGTTTTCAGGTATATTTAAACTTTTTCGTCCAGATGAAAAATGTAAGTTTTGTTTCAATATTTATTTTGTCAATATTTTTCCAATCCAACCCAACAATTATTACACATCATTGTAAAGAGAAAGCTTTAAGCTTTAATTTAGAGTAAGTCTCATTCCTTAATTTTAATAAATATGGTTTCCACGAATTTTTAAATTACCATCTTTCTTGACACTTTTAGGTTATACGAAAATGTAAGTTTTGTTTCAACATTTTTTTTCTCAATATTTTTCCAATCCAACCCAACAATTATTATACATCATTGTAAAGAGAAAGCTTTGAGCTTTAATTTAGAATAAGTCTCATTCCTTAATTTCAATAAATACGGCTTCCAGGAATTTTTAAATTAGCATCTTTTTTGACACTTTTAGGTTATACGAAAATGTAAGTTTTGTTTCAACATTTTTTTTCTCAATATTTTTCCAATCCAACCCAACAATTATTATACATCATTTTAAAGAGAAAGCTTTGAGCTTTAATTTAGAATAAGTCTCATTCCTTAATTTCAATAAATACGGCTTCCAGGAATTTTTAAATTAGCATCTTTTTTGACACTTTTAGGTTATACGAAAATGTAAGTTTTGTTTCAACATTTTTTTTCTCAATATTTTTCCAATCCAACCCAACAATTATTATACATCATTTTAAAGAGAAAGCTTTGAGCTTTAATTTAGAATAAGTCTCATTCCTTAATTTCAATAAATACGGCTTCCAGGAATTTTTAAATTAGCATCTTTTTTGACACTTTTAGGTTATACGAAAATGTAAGTTTTGTTTCAACATTTTTTTTCTCAATATTTTTCCAATCCAACCCAACAATTATTATACATCATTTTAAAGAGAAAGCTTTGAGCTTTAATTTAGAATAAGTCTCATTCCTTAATTTCAATAAATACGGCTTCCAGGAATTTTTAAATTAGCATCTTTTTTGACACTTTTAGGTTATACGAAAATGTAAGTTTTGTTTCAACATTTTTTTTCTCAATATTTTTCCAATCCAACCCAACAATTATTATACATCATTTTAAAGAGAAAGCTTTGAGCTTTAATTTAGAATAAGTCTCATTCCTTAATTTCAATAAATACGGCTTCCAGGAATTTTTAAATTAGCATCTTTTTTGATACTTTTAGGTTATACGAAAATATAAGCTTTGTTTTAACATTTTTTTTCTCAATATTTTTTCAATCCAACCCAACAATTATTATACGTCATTGTAAAGAGAAAGCTTTGAGCTTTAATTTGGAGTAAGTCTCATTCCTTAATTTCAATAAATACGGCTTCCAGGAATTTTTAAATTAGCATCTTTTTTGACACTTTTAGGTTATACGAAAATGTAAGTTTTGTTTCAACATTTTTTTTCCCTGCATGGTTGAGTACAACAATGAAGACAAAAATGAAATACTAAAAACGTTATACCAATACAATCATATATAGAACTCGAGAACTTGGAAAAGCATTTCATGTAATTGATTTTGGAACTTCGTCGTAAAAGTAATCCAATATAACTTACAGAATACAAAGAATAATTACGTATACGCGATTTGATTTGATTCCGAGTAGTTAATTATATAGCAATTAATTATAATTATGTAATAAAAATCTGTTATAAAAGTATATCGAGTTATGTAAAAGATTAATTTTGAGAATTACAAAAAAATCAAGTGAAAGATGAACGTCGCGTCGCTGCTGATATACAGCTTTTGTCTCGAGGAAATTAGTCGGAAAATTGTTCGGATGGGCTAAAAATTCTTTCCTCGGCAACTCCACCCATTTCGCCGTCTACAAATTACACCGAATGCATCTTGCACAGCCGTTTCAAACCCGACGTAACCTTTAGAACGCATCCCTAGCAACCCAGTGATTACATTTTGCGGATGCAATCCGTTTTCCCAACGGCACATATCACTCGCAACTTAATCCAAAACTCAACCTTTGTTTTATTTTTTTTTCTGTACCAACTTAATAGAAAATGTCTTTAGCGAACGTACACGTTTTTTGACTTAAACTAGAAGCAAAACACATTTTGTGATTCAACTTCCGGTCCGTCCGACCCGCGAATGTATAACGTACCATTTAATCCTGTTCCAGATTCGAAATCAGGAAGTCGCAGCAGGAAAGTGGAGAGAATTTATGTCGCAACGGCGCGATAACGACGTTGATGCAATTTTCGTCCCAAAGAGCAAATGCGGAACCATTCTCTAAGCGAGGCGGACGTGTTTCTATTTCGCCGAGAAAACCTCTCATCAATTATGAATATAACCTGCGTGTAAAATGAAATACAAACTAAATATTTTAAGATAATTTGAGGTTGTTGCGGGAATAAATAAGGAGAAATAACACGTTTTGTAATAATAATAATAATTAATAACAGTTTAATTTATTATTAATTTCAGATTTAAATGTAATAATCGATGTCAAACAGATTCGCTTTATGATGCGAATATACATCACTATAATGGGACGACTATCGACATGGCATTTGTGCAAACAGCTAACCAGTAATTACTTGCTTCTGTTCGACTGCACAGAAACAAACTCAACCGGGTATAATTGCGTTAACACGGTGTTCAAATAATGATTGGATTGATGTTGAGTAACATGAAGATAAATACAAAAAATATGTATAGAGGCTACGGAATGATTTGATAAATAAAGCTCTGTTTGTGTTACGGTCGATTTATTCATTGTCGATCTACCAACACTTTGCTGTAAAAATGTCGGAACCAGTTGAACGACTACGATCGATACAATTTAAACTGTGTTGTACTTACGGTGCTTTCAAAACTTTCAATTCATATGCAAATACATTCTAAGTATAATGTTTCGTTATTGTTTATGACCAAGAGTAATGAATTCAACTTGTCACCACTAGTGTATTTCGAATAGAATTTATTTATTGTTTAACACAAAGAAATTAAAATTTAATGTAATTGAACACACTTGTTTAACACTGATATTTTTACCAGAGCACGAGTATGTATAAAATCAAATGATCGTAACAATATCAATATGTCCGAACTTATCCATTTGATCGGCACAGGAAATTAATTTAATCGTCGAAATCGCTGTAAAATTCGATTTTATTACACAAAACTGAATGGAACTTTTTTATGGTTGAAAACACGGTAACTGGTGCACAGGTATTATTTTTCTGGAAACGTTGAACAATTCTCCATGGATTCGGTCTATAACGTGTCGAAAAAATCGAAGTTTTAAATTTTTTTTGTTTACACTAAAATAGACCTTCTGGGAAATAACAAACATTTTTACCCCAACAGTTTTAATATTCATTGTAGTCAATAAAGTGTGATGTGACGAATTTTTGCGGTATTTACGCACGGCACTCGTCAAATTTCGTACATGATAAACGCGGTTTCCTGGAAAAACTAACACCACGCTCGTGGGATTCGAAAATATATTCGTCGACATTCGTCGTTTTAGTTTTTTGATCGCAAAACCGCGCTATGTCGAATTTTCCTCGCGAACTGTTCGGTAAACTTTCCCAAACCTACCCCTATATTCTCTTTTCATCTGTGTTTTCGCACACAACTTTTACAACCTTCACTTACCTCTTTGAAATTGAAGGGTCCAGTTTTCTCGTGCATTATGAATAGGTGAACTCCAATTAAATTTAACACCAACACTGTTATAAATTTTAAATTTAACACAATTATTATAATAAATTATAATTATAATTAATTTACAATAAATATATAAATAATAAAAATTATATTAAATTATATTAATTTAGGAAAATAAATGGAAATCCACACATAACAGAATGTAACGAACAATCAATTTGAAAATTTGTCTTTGCGACAAATTGCTCTTTAAATCCTAAATTGTTTTCCTTACAATGTTCAAACTTATTAATCAAACTATTGAGCTAGATTGCCATTTAACACATAGTGTTTTGTCAAAGCCATTATCAATATGATTATCAAATAAGAATTTGTTTCAATTTCGAATAGATGTGATTCTTGCAGGAAGAAGTACAACGTCGTTTGAGTATTTGAGGTCCTTTTTACCATCTAAATCCTGCCTCCTAGATCATTTCTTGGTACAGACGAAATTCAGGTCTAGGTTAAGCAACAAGAGGAACGATCAGTGACAAATAATTAATAAATTCAGAATGGATTACTTGTACAGGAGGAAAAAAGGGAACATAATAGAATATACAGGGTGTTCATTTCAAAACTTTCCACCTCAATTTCTGTAAATCCGTAAGTTTAAAAAGAAAATCGCTGAAATAGGTAAAGAATTAAACCAAGGGGGACAACTTTTTATGCAAAAATTGACTCACTCACTTCAACCCCCCGCCGCCAGAAACCAACCCCTTAAAAATCTTAAATGGAAAGGGGTGTCAAGTGATACCTCATTTTAAAGGTCTTTTAAGGTACTACATGTTAG